TTCTTGCATCTAGAGCTGGACATAATTTTTCAACTGAAATGTTTTTCAGCAAAAAAAATGTTTTTCAGTTGAGGCAAAAACTCCATAAGTTCTAACATATCTAATATTTTAATTGCGCTACATTGGAAATCTCCCCCTCTCCCCCCCCCCCTCTCAATTTACATTGATTATACAATGGCCAAATTTTCAAGCCCAGGTTATTAACATATGCCTTTGATCCCTATAGCCCCAATCCTGACAACACTTATACTTGTGCTTAACTTTAAGCATGCATATAGTTCCATTGACTATTTGTGAGTCTTAAGTTAAATGTGTCTCAAGACCTTGCATAGTGACAGGTTTCAGAGTAGCAGCCGTGTTAGTCTGTATCCGCAAAAAGAACAGGAGTACTTGTGGCACCTTAGGCCTGGTCCACACTAGGACTTTAATTCAGATTTAGCAGCGTTAATCCGAATTAACCCTTCACCCGTCCACACTACAGAGCCAGTTAATTCGAATTAAAGGGCCCTTTAAATCGATTTCTGTACTCCACCTCGACGAACGGAGTAACATCAAAATCGATTTTGTTAATCCGAATTAGGGTTAGTGTGGCCACAAATCGATGGTATTGGCCTCCGGGAGCTATCCCACAGTGCACCACTGACCGCTCTGGACAGCAATCTGAACTCGTATGCACTGGCCAGGTAGACAGGAAAAGACCCAGGAAAATTTGAATTGCATTTCCTGTTTCCTGTTTGCTCAGCGTGGAGAGCACAGGTGACCACAGATACCACAGATACCTCAGCTCATCAGCACAGGTAACCATGCAGGCTGATAATCGAAAAAGAGCACCAGCATGGACCACACGGGAGGTACTGGATCTGATCGCTGTATGGGGTGAGGATTCAGTGCTAGCAGAACTTCGTTCAAAGAGACGAAATGCCAAAACTTTTGAAAAAATCTCCAAGGGCATGATGGAGAGAGGCCACAATAGGGACTCAGATCAGTGCCGCGTGAAAGTGAAGGAGCTCAGACAAGCCTATCAAAAAACAAAGGAGGCAAACGGTCGCTCCGGGTCAGAGCCGCGGACATGCCGCTTCTACGCAGAGCTGAATGCAATTCTAGGGGGGGCCGCCACCACTACCCCACCTGTGATCGTGCAAACCGGGTCTGGGATAGTCTCTACACCTGAGGATTCTGAGGGTGGGGAAGAGGAGGAGGAGGAAGATCAGGATCTTGCAGAGAGCACCCAGCACTCCGTTCTCCCCAACAGCCAGGAGCTTTTTCTCAGCCTGACTGAAGTACCCTCCCAAGCCTCCCAAGCCAGTAGCCAAGACCATGACCCCATGGAAGGGACCTCAGGTGAGTTTATCTTTTAAAATATAAAACATGGTTCAAAAGCAAGGTTTTTTAATGATTATTTTGCCCTGAGGACTTGGGATGCATTCGCAGCCAGTACAGCTACTGGAAAAGTCTGTTAACGTGTCTGGGGATGGAGCGGAAATCCTCCAGGGACATCTCCATGAAGCTCTCCTGGAGGTACTCCAAAAGCCTTGCCACAAGGTTTCTGGGCAGTGCCGCTTTATTCCGTCCTCCATGGTAGGACACTTGTCCACGCCATGCTTGCAGCAAGTAATCTGGTATCATTGCCTGACAAAGCCTGGCAGCGTATGGTCCCGGTGTTTGCTGGCATTCAAGCAACATCCGTTCTTTATCTCGCTGTGTAATCCTCAGGAGAGTGATATCGCTCATGGTAACCTGCTTGAAATACGGGAACTTAATTAAGGGGACAGAGGTGGCCGTTCCTACTGGGCTGTTTGCCTGTGGCTGATAAGAAATCCTTCCCTGCAGTTAGCCAAGCGCAGGGGCGGGGGGGGGGAAATTGGCCCAGAGCTTTTCACGTTTGGCTAGCAGGGATCTTCCCTGATACCAGCTGTGGGGGGAAGGGTAAAGCAATCATTCCAGGGAATTCATGGCGGGAGGGGGGGCGGATGGGTTAGTTTGGTTTCAGCAGGGATTTTCCCTGTTACCAGCCACGCGGTCGGGGAGGGGTACATTGAGCATTCCAGGGAATTCATGGCGGGAGGGGGGGCGGGGGGGGGTTAGTTTGTTTTCTGCTGCTGAAGGTTAACAGGAAAACCTCAGCAGTCAACAGGCTTTGATTGGTATGTTGGAAAGGAGGGCGCAGAAGCCGAAAGACAATGGCTTACCATGGCTGCCTGCAAGCTGAATTCTGTTGCCCGGACCTGCGTCTGTGATCTCTAACACCAAAGCCACAGGCACTCAATATTAAGATGGAAAATGCGACCTTGTACTGAAATCACATGTGCTATGTAATGTGAATAGTGTTCACCATGAAAGAGTACAAGCATTGTTCTGTAAAATGTATCATTTTAAAAACTTCTCTACTTTTTTTCAACCCTCCCTCTAGCAGCTGCAAATGTTTCAAGCCTCCCTCCTGCGTCCAGAAGGCTATCTCAGATAAGGCGTCGTAGAAAGATGACGCGAGACGACATGTTCAAAGAAATAATGAAATCCACCCACAATCAAAGAGCTCATTTGAATGAGTGGAAGGACACTGTATCTAAATTTAGGAAAGATGCCAGTGACCGTGAGGTCTTGAGGGATGCTCGAGATGAGAGGTGGCAGGCTGCAACGCTGGGGCTGCTGCGTGAGCAAACGGACATGCTCCGGCATCTGGTGGAGCTTCAGGAACGGCAGCAGGATGGCAGACTGCCGCTGCAGCCGCTGTATAACCTACCTCCCCCCTCACCATGTTCCATATCCTCCTCACCCAGACGTGTAAGAACGCGGGGGGGGATGCTGCGTGCACCCTGTCACTCCACCCCAGGGGAGAGCCCAACCAAAAGGCTGTCAATATATTGAATTTGATCAGTGGCCTTAGACTTCCCTCTTATCCTCCTCCCAAACCTCACCCACATTACCTTCTTGGTTCTCTCCCTATGTTTATAATCACTTAATAAAGAATACATGATTTTTAAACGATAGTGACTTTATTACCTTTGAAAGAAAGCTGGGGGGAGGGTGGGTTGCTTACAGAGAATGAATGAGAATGAAGGGGGCTGGTTTTCATGAAGGGAGAAACAAACAGAAATTTCACACTGTAGCCTGGCCAGTCATGAAACTGGTTTTCAGAGCTTCTCTGATGCACACTGCTTCCTGGTGTGTTCTTCTAATCGCCCTGGTGTCTGGCTGCGCGTAATCAGCAGCCAGGCGATTTGCCTCAGCCTCCCACCCGGACATAAAGGTCTCCCCCTTACTTTCACAGAGATTGTGGAGCACACAGCAAGCAGAAATAACAATGGGGAGATTTCTTTGGCTGAGGTCAGAGCGAGTTAGTAGCGATCGCCAGCGTGCTTTTAAACGGCCAAATGCACATTCTACCACCATTCTGCACTTGCTCAGCCTGTAGTTAAACAGCTCCTGACTCCTGTCCAGGCTGCCTGTGTATGGCTTCATGAGCCATGGCATTAAGGGGTAGGCTGGGTCCCCAAGGATAATGATAGGCATTTCAACATCCCCAACGGTTATTTTCTGGTCCGGGAAGTAAGTCCCTTGCTGCAGCCGTTTAAACAGATTAGTGTTCCTGAAGACGCGTGCATCATGAACCCTTCCCGGCCACCCCACGTTGATGTCGGTAAAACGTCCCTTGTGATCCACCAGTGCTTGCAGCACCATTGAAAAGTACCCCTTGCGGTTTACGTACTGGGTACCCTGGTGCTCCGGTGCCAAGATAGGGATGTGGGTTCCATCTATCGCCCCACCACAGTTAGGGAATCCCATTGCAGCAAAGCCATCCACTATGACCTGCACATCCCCAAGAGTCACTAGCTTGTGTAGCAGCACCTCAGTGATTGCTTTGGCTACTTGTATCACAGCAGCCCCCACAGTAGATTTGCCCACTCCAAATTGATTCCCCACTGACCGGTAGCTGTCTGGCGTTGCAAGCTTCCACAGGGCTATTGCCACTCGCTTCTCAACTGTGAGGGCTGCTCTCATCCTGGTATTCTGGCGCTTCAGGGCAGGGGAAAGCAAGTCACAAAGTTCCATGAAAGTGCCCTTACGCATGCGAAAGTTCCGCAGCCACTGGGAATCGTCCCACACCTGCAACACTATGCGGTCCCACCAGTCTGTGCTTGTTTCCCGGGCCCAGAATCGGCGTTCCATGCCTATAACCTGCCCCATTAACAGCATGATCTCCAAAGCACCGGGTCCCGCGGTTCGATAGAATTCCATGTCCATGTCCTCATCACTCTCATCGCCGCGCTGCTGTAGCCTGCTCCTCTCTGCCTGGTTTTCAAGGTTCTTGTTCAGCATAAACTGTACGATAAGGCGCGAGGTATTTACAATGTTCATGACTGCTGTCTTGAGCTGAGCGGGCTCCATGCTTGCCGTGGTATGGAGTCTGCTGCGTTCAGCCAGGAAAAAAGGCGCGAAATGGTTGTCTGCCGTCCGTTGCTTTCATGCAGGGAGGGGGGGAGGGAGGGAGGGGTGAGGCTGTACCCAGAACCACCTGCGACAATGTTTTGGTCCCATCAGGCACTGGGATCTCAACCCAGAATTCCAATGGGCAGGGGAGACTCCGGGAACTATGGGATAGCTATGGGATAGCTACCCACAGTGCAACGCTCCAGAAATCGACGCTAGCCCCAGTACATGGACGCACACCACCGAATTAATTTGCTTAGTGTGGCCGCATACAATCGAATTAATACAACCGGTTTACCAAATTCGAATTAGCTAAATTCGGATTAATCGTGTAGTGTAGACGTACCCTTAGAGACTAACATTTATTTGAGCATAAGCATTTTACTGTAGTGGGCTAATTTGATGAAAGGTCACAGCAACATATCTTCCCTTACAGTGATTTTTGCATAAATATTTGTTTATTCTCCACAGCAATGTTCATCTTCATTTATAAATTTAAGATTGTATTTATGTTTTCATCGAAGCTTAAACTGAAATGAAAATAAAAACCCCTTTCTTTTCTGGTTTTGCAGTTAAATATTCTGGTTGACACTGGAAGCAGTAATTTTGCAGTTGCAGGTGCCCCAAACCCTGATGTAACGTCATACTTCAATACAGAGGAGTAAGTATCTTTTAAAAACTCTTTGCATAGGATTGAATGTCCTGGGTTCTGGCTTGTATGTGGAAAAGACAATGCAAAGCAGGTGAATGGGCTTCTATTGCAGTTGATTGCTGAATGTGGTATATATCTCTTATTTTTAGCACCAGAGTCTGTCACCCTTCCTCATGCTGAGTAGCTCCTTACTCCACAACAGGTTCCACTGATTTCAATGAAGCTACTTGCAGCATGAGGTGTGGTTTTTGTTTTTTTGTTTTTAATCTGGCCCTGAATTATTTGTAGGATAGCACATGCTCTAGAATCTAGGCACCAAATATAAGATCAAGATAAACATCAAGATTAATTGAAATGACCTCATGCCTTGTCCTCTCAGGGTTTGGCTGTTTTCGCCATTTTTTCTTCTTAGTTTAAATTATTTTAGGTAGGCTTCTGCAAAAAAATGAAACTATATCTAGGTTTGCCAGAATTTGACGTTTACTTTTTTATAATTTTAACTGTTATGAATCAGACATGCCAAACCCACAAAAAAACCACAGAAATTGGGCTTGTTTTTGGCTTAATTGGCTTGTGAGTTGCTTATTGGCTAGTTTTTTGGCTTGTAGCTTGTTGCTTCCTTTTATTATTTAATCAGCTCCTGGCAAGCAGGGGGAAGTGGGGAGCGAGTCGCCGTACACAGCAGGCCCGCCACAGTCCCAGACTGCACGCTGGGGGGGGAATCTAGTCACATAGAGAGTAGGGGTTCTTGGGGATTGGCTTATTTTGGCCTTGTTTTGAAATGGGATTAGCTTGATTTTTGGCTTATTTTTAAAGTCGGGGTACTTATTTACCGTGCGAAAGTTGGCAATTGTGATATCAATGTATGTTTTTAGGCATTTTTTAAATTTTTATTTTTAATTTTAATGTGCAAACTTATGCATTGTAATCATTTTTATTATATTTAAAATTTCACAATTGTAGGAAATTATGGGGGTGGTTAGAGAATTATTTAATGACAATAGGCATCGAGATTCAAAAAGTTAGAGATTTATAACCATTAAAATCTGACTTCTCAACGTTGTGTCAAAATATACAGAGTAAATATCTTTAAATCAAACCCTGCATTCTGAAGCAGCATTTTTCTTACTCTGTCTTTCTGTAAATTTTGATTATCATCTAACAATATTTTCTTCGGTTCATGTATAGATGGTGAAATAAAAAAAAATCTAATCCTTCCAAGCCAACTGTAGATCTTTAATTGATGTATGTGGCCAAAACTATTTAGAAGATGGGGATGCTGAAAGATACTTTCTATTCTTGATACCCCTTCTCTTTATAAATCTTAGATGGGTGGGTTTTTCATATTTGGCTTTTTTAAATGTCTTCAATGAAACATACTTGGGGTGGAGACAAATATTGCATTTCTACAGATATATGGCAACAGATAAGACTGCACTTTATCCAGGAAACACCAGTGCAGAGTTTGCACAGTATATTCTAGAAATAAGACATTTTTGAAGATTCCAGAATGTCCCCTTCAATGCTATCCTTGGGATTCTTAATATTGGAGACTTTGTATGCCAACTGAACAACGCCTATTCAATAATGGTTTTAAGGAGGATATAAGTGTTATGGGGAAGCCTTCCTGAGTAAAGCTGTACAAATAACAGATTTTTTCAGTTTGCTGGCAACTCAGAAAAACTGGGCAAAAAAAATTGTTGTGGGTCAAACCAAACATTTCACTTGGATTTAGAGCATTTTTAATGTCTTAAAATGAATTAAATTTGAAGGAAGTTTCTAAATCAAAAGCTGTTTTGAATAAAAAATAATCAAAATGTTTTGTTTTAAAATTCCTAAAGGAAAGGCTTTGACTGTTTTGGAATTATTTTTTGTTTTTTCTACACGAACAAGTCAGCAAAGCTGACATGAATGTCTGCAAAATGTTTAAATGTTGCTGGATCTGCATTTTTTGGCTGAAAGTTTTGGCTGAAAAATTTCACCCAGCTCTACTCTTGAGTTGTGAATGAGGGGAAATTCCCCCATCCCCTCCTCTTCCCCCCCTCCCCCCCGCCAGTAAGTTTTCAGAAGCTAAGCAGGGGGGTCAATTCCAGCCCTCCTGTGAGTTTTAGTAGACTTGTGGGGACAGGTGATAATCTAATCTTGGCACATTGGGGTGGGAGCTAGAGGAGGAGCAGTGGCTAGCTCTCTAAGGGTTTGGTTTTGGGGGAGAATTTGAGAGGCCCCACCTGCCCCAAGAACTTAAGACCTAGGTGTGAATGTGGGGTTTCAACTTACTAGTTAAGGATCATGGGGAGGGCCTGTGAGCCTCTCCAGGGCCATGGGGTGGGGGTTGTGGGAGCCCTTGATGAGTATCCTAAGGCTCAAAGGATGGGAGCAGAGGAGGAGGGGAGGAAGTGTTTCCTCACTGGGACCCCAAAGATAGTCTGGAGAGTGGCAGGGAGAGCCAGGAAGATGTTTCTCAATCCTTGTGATCTCCTCCATGGGGGCTGGGGAGCAGTGGTAGAAGGGGGAAGCAGTTTTCCTCTTACCCTACACCCTCTGGGGTCTGCTGATCCCCAATCCTCCAGTAAACCATGCTCTTTCTTGCTCCTGCCCCAGCAAGCCTTAAAACAGCCCCAGTCCTGCAGACATCCAGAGGCTCACAAGAGGCGAGCCTAATTCCCATATACCTCCTAGGTTGTGTAGCAAATGATCCCCTATCTTGAGGACCTGCAGAGAGTGGGGTTTCCCTTTTTATAGAGACTTTAGGACATCAGAAGCTTAGGGACTCCTTTCACAGGCTGGTAGGTGAGGACTGGGTTATGAGGAGATTTCATGGCCAACAGACCGGGCGGGGAGGGGGGATCCTTCCTTGCCCTCCTTCTCTTCCCCCAGGGACTTCTTAGTATCTGTAGGGACAGGTCTTATCTCTAGGATTTAGGACCATTTAAAAACAAATCTACACCTCTCCCCTCCCCCCCAAGAAATGCCATTCAAAACACTTGAAGGTTGTAATTACATGTCAGTGTTTTGTGTATGTTATCTTTGGAAAACACTGGCAGGAAAAATGGACATTGAAATCTAGGAAATTCAGGGTTAAGGTTGCTCTTTGCTGTGTGTGTAATGAGTTTAACTAAAATAACCACAACTGTAACTCACTCCTGGGAGATAGTTAACAAAAGATAAGTGACATTGAAGGAATACAGAGAGGAACAAAAACATTCAACAAATCCTAACTAAACATAGCATAAGACTTTGTAGCACAAGCACTTTGAACATACAAACATGGATGGATCACACGTTTCTAATTCCAAACACTTCTTTAAAGCATAGACATACTGTGGGTGGAATCCTGGCCCCACTGAAGGCAAGGAGAGTTTTACAATTGATGTCAGTGGGACCAGGATTCCATCCCATTGCAGTTTACAGAGGATAAAGATGGGTGCCTATTTTTATTCCTCTAAAAGGAAATAAAAATAATTTCAAATCCCTCCTCACCTTCGATTATATCTCCTGCAATTTCAATTCCATTAAACAACAGCAGTACACGCTTCCACTACAGTTATAAAAATGCAAAAAAAGGGGGTGGGAGAAAAGGAAGAATTAGTGCTTTGTTGTAAAACTGTTGAAAAAGTTATGGACGTGTGTCCTTTTTTTATTAGAATGTCAGTGCAATGTTAGAAATGGAACCTTAATTCTGAATTTCCTGGGTGTCTAGTTTTTTGTGGCTTCTTCTTTTAATTCAAATGACAAAATATACATGCTTAATTTCAACTTAATTCAGTTTTTTGTGTAGATCAGAAAATTATCTTGCTACCCTTGAGTCTCCAGGAAAACCACTTGGAACTATGGGGTTTTAGAGGAAATCTTGAACTCAATGTTCTAGAAAGAGAAAGTTTGTTTTTGCTGAGAATGTCCTGCATGATGTTTTGTTCATGAAGTATGTTGTATTGCCTGCTCAACAGGGTGGATTTTTCTATAAACCAAGCAAAACATTGTAACTGGGCAGTCCAGCCGTATAATATGCAAGTAGATTGATATTATCTTGAATACTATCTGGATCACTTCAATAGTTGGGGATTATGAGGTGCTCTGACAATCTTTAATTTGAAAAGTTAATAGTTCAACTATTGTTAGTTTAGTGTGTAAATTACCATTCACAAGAATCTGTTTCAGTAATCCTGAAGTGGGATAGTGAGAATGTTCTCTGGTAATGGATGGAAACCACTTGAGACTTTTGCAAGTGGATTGTCAAGAAAAAAGTTCTTGAACATTCTATTTCTCATACTGCTCAAAAATACGTGTTGGTGATTGTAGCTTGCTACTTTTCCACAAAGGATTTACTGGAACAGTTGTGTGGGGGTTTTAATATGATATTTCAGATTATATCATGTTGAGTCTTCAATTTGCCTAATAATCCTTTATTTTTTTGAAGTTACATTTTCAAATTGTTTGGTCATAAAAATCCATCTAGTTTTCGTCTCTAAAACCTTTTAACTAATCAGTTATGTTAGCTAAGTCTACTGCCTTAGAACTGATCTGAAACGTCTACTGAGGCATTCATATATTTTATCATCCCTTGGACTTGGGAGGTAAATCTAACTTCCCAATCAAACATATCTAAAAATTGAGAGCCAGGAATATCCCTAAACTAAGAGTCTACAGCCAGAAGGACTACTGGGATCATCTAGTTGGACCTCCTGTATGACATGTATTTTATGTATGGTTTTAATGGTACATGCACTGAAGAACTGAGTCCAAATAGAATACCCAACTTTCTCTTCTTGGTTAAATATTTGGTAATTTAAACCCTGGAGGAGACTTATGAGGAGTTTTACTGTTTTGGTTTGGTGGCTTTTTTGTTTTTTGTTTTTGTTTTTTGCTTTAGAGGAAGAATTGGCAACAAGGGAAATGATTGAAGGTCTGCTTGGCATTTTGATGTTTTTGTGATTGGCGGGGGGAAGAGACAGAAACAACTTTTTCATTAAAATAGTTTAATCTATTGATTCTTAACATTAAAAAGGTTG